CTTCTAGCTTTTCATATTTTTTTTAGACAGAACTTACTTTGATAACATAGTTGCAATAGATTCTCTACTTGAAAATATAATGGTAAGGTATCTTTTACTTGAATTTCAGTATTGTTCAGACCACTGAAATGTGGTCTACAAAAGTTATTATTTTATTGATATTTCTGACCTATATACATAGAACATATACCCATTCAGAATATTAAGTTTAAAAAACAGCATAAAATGTGTGTATCATTTGTGTACAATTTTTGTAAAGTAAAATGGTACTACTCAATTTTTATAGCCCTATTACATGATAGTTTCAAAACTGTATCAAAGTAATTAGTTCAGATATCAGTAATTCAACTTAATTTTCAGTGAACATACTCAAGGATTCTTTAATAATAATAAAATATACAGTAGTTTTGGATTTTTGTTTTTTAGAACAAACATTACATTTGTTCTGATAATATGTTATACTTGTTCCTCTATTATATATCTGAGTAGCTATCATGAAGTTTTGAAACAAGTAGAATTGAATTCCATTAGAAAAGAGATGGATGGTGACTTATGAATAGGTATTTTTCAGTAGATATAACTAAGGCTGAAATTCTATGAAACTAGGGTTTGGTGATCAGTATTGGGTTCTAGAATTTTTGTAAAACCAGTGAATATTTTAAGAACCATTTGGAAGGTTAATTCCCAGTGGTAACACAGTCAATTTTTGTTTAATTTCATTGTTTAATTTTCAGGTTTTAATGCTGTTTTTTTTATGTATGTCCTTTGAAACCTGTTTTGGATACTTTATAATAGAAACCTGAAAGTGTTTTAAATAAATCAAGGTGGAAAGAGCACTCGGTAATTTTTAACAATGAGATTCTCTACAGATCTGATATTTAACTTTTGATATAATGTTACCTTGAAAAATGATGATATTGCTATAACTAATGGCAGAGATAGCAAGGTGATATATAAAGCTAAATAACATTTGTCTCTAAAATTGTTTTTATATGCTTCAAAATGATCCTGAAACATTTTGGAGTAGCTTACTCTATAACCACAAGAACTTGTCAAGAGTAGCTTAGAACAAAAGCTGTTTGAGCAGAGCTATGTTCATGAACTCTTCCTCTCTTAGAAAAAAAAGGGGCACATTTTTTGTGAATTCTTCCTCCCCTTTGTAGACCCTTGTCCCACCAGCAGATAACTTCAAAGAGTTGGAGGGTTCTTTAGAAATTCACAGAGATGGCACAGGAGGAAAGGAGAATCAACAAAATAAGAATAGGAGCCTTTGATTATTATTACATGTTTATAAGATTTATATCCTGCCATTTGCTTAAATAGACTCTCAGCAGAGTTTATTTAATTCAACATTAAAAACAAACAAAATACAACACTTTAATATGTAAAATTAGTATTAAATTCAATAATTAAGTCTAGCAACAGGTATGTGTCTCTACAGATTTCTACATGCTGAGAGAGTAGAGACCCAAAGCGACCTGTTGAACTGAACCCTTATTTTATTCTCTTAATAATTAACATTATATATTAGAACTTGCTTGGCTATTAGTTCAACTACATCTTATAAAAGTAGGGTGTTAAATTATATTTTTTCAGCTTGCTTTTTCATTAAATAAATAAATGTTGTTTGGAAAGAAATGTAATTTGAGCTAAGGATGTGTTTTTATCTGCACTGTGCTTTTGGCAAAAGACTACCCCCTATGTTTTCTGTTAATGAACTGCAAAAGGACTAAAAATACAGTTTTTGTTTAAAGATCCTTCTGTTTCAACTTTTTATGCTATTTAGAAGCCTGTACTTGATTTTCCCAAAGAGGAACTATATCACAACAAATCTCTACATATTCAAATATCCTATGAACTGATTGTTCATTCCATATGTAGAGCAGCCTTGCTTATTTATTTTATTTATTTTATTAAATCAATTTATACAGCTGCCCATCTCACCACAGGTGACTCTGGGCAGCGTACAACAAAGCTAAAAACAGTAAAATACATTAAAAAAATATATAAAACAAAATAAAACAGAATAAAAGGAAGTTAAAAATAAGGGAGCCATCTCACTAATTCCCCCATCCCCTGGAGTCCTCAGGCCTGCTGGTATAACCAATCTTAAGGGACCTCCGGAAGGTCAACAATGACAAGGCCAGCCTCACCTCAGGGGGGAGAAGATTCCACAGCATAGGCACCACAGCAGAAAAGGCCCGCCGCTTGGGGCCTGCCAAATGGATCTCCCTAGGTGATAATATATTATTTCCTTTCTTCTGCCAGAGAGCTAGTAAAGATATGTACGTCTAGTTCGCCATACTGGAGTGCTCTGTAATTTGATATAGTCTTCCACATACCAACCTTTATCGTCCCCTACACCCATCTAATGCTCCTACCTCTCCTTTTAGATTCCTTTAGGCTTTTGTTTTTTATATATACTTTCTGTTTTCATGTTTTTTATAGCTTTGTTTTCATGTTTTTTATAGCTTCTAGCTTTTCATATTTTTTTTAGACACTGAAGTATCTTCTATGCTTTTTAATTGACTGTATCCCACCCTCCTTATACTGATCTATGACCATAATAAAGATTTGATTTGATATGTGCAAAATTATATAGTTACATATAAACAGACAAGAGGGCCAGTTTGGTTAAGGCATTAGTCTAGTAACTGGGAGATTATGAGCTCTAGTCCTGCCTTAGGCACAAAGCCAGCTGGGTGGCCTTAAGCCAGTCACTCTCTCTCAGCCTTAGGAAGGAGGCAATGGCAAATCACTTCAGAAATCTTGGCAAGAAAACTGCAAGGACTAGTCCAGGCAATTGGCAGGAGTCAAAAACTGACTCGAAGGCACGAAAATCGAGTAGAATTGAATAGAATACTGTGCTCTATTCTAGAAGTCTCTACACAAGGAAGTCCTGGTACTATTCCTTCTAAAGGCTCATGTGTAATAGTTTGGTGTAGTGGATAAGGTGCTGGACTATAAACTGGGAGACCCCAATGGGCATGAAAGCCAGTTGGGTGATTTTGGGCCAGACGCTGTCTCTCTCAGCCCAAGCTAAAATACATGGTGGTTGTTGCGGGGAAATAATACATTATGCTAAATAAACATCCTTTATTTAGTATTTCTTAAAGCTTTTGTGACCAACCCCCCTTCTCCGCAATTCTTTAGCAATTCTTTTGACGATCCCTCAAAATTGTATTACTAGTTGCAATGACTTAAGCGTTATCACTAGAAAAAAGTTTGTACCTGGCATTTGAATAAGCAAATACTTTAGTTAGATCAAAATTCACAACATCTGAAGCTTTTGGGTACCATATTTCTGAAGACTGAGGGGTTACAGACCTCATCTTCCACATCACAGCATGGTGGAGCCTGATCTTGGAGAAAAAAGTCTAATCAAAGTTAGTGGGCCCCTTAACAAGAAAATACAGGTAAGTATAAAATGTCTACAGTATATAACCATCTACCTAACTCCATAAGCAGGATAGAAACTGTATAAGTTTTGAGAAGGTTAATTACTCTCAGTATATAAGTTACTTTAAAGTATAAGATAATTCTGGCCTTGTCCCAAGCACACTTTGGTTAATCCAGCTTTGCTCTTTGTAGATATATGCAAAAAACCTGGTGAATGCAGATCGCTGTGCACTCTTCCAGGTAGATCAGAAGAACAATGAGTTGTATTCAGACCTGTTTGATATTGGGGAAGAACATGAAGGGAAGCCTGTCTTCAAGAAGACCAAAGAAATAAGGTAAGCATAGTAGTCTGTTTTTACAAGTTTTGTACTATAATTTAGCTTCTGTCCATATTTACAGATACTGTGGCAGTTTTCATCATATTATGATTTCATTGTCACTGAAGTTAGCTTTGTTTTGTTTTGAAATCATTATCAGTGTCAATAATTATCAGTGCCTGAAACTATAATGATGCCTTCCGATTTGTTTGTTTGTTTGCTCATTCAATTTGTATGGCAGCCCACTCTCAAGGATGGGTGGATGAACAGACTGAATAATAGATCACATTATTCACCATTAATGCATTATTCCTGTATCTAATAATGTTACAAATTTCACCCAGTTTAATAAGAATATTCAAATAGTTAACTTTGGAAGTTATTGTCATGCTATTACATTAATTTTCTTCTCATAGATAAGAAATCTGTCCAAAGCTTATTGGATCGAAAGGGAGGTTTTAAGGGGAGGACTGACCTCCTCTTAACTTGCATTTGACTTCCTGCCTTGCTTTTATAGAAAGGTGGTTTTGCTGTAGAATTCTTCAAGAGTTCCATCATGGATGGACGCTTCAAAGAGCAGCAAGCCACAACAGAAATAAAAGCAACAAGCAAGCAAACAGTTTAATTTTTCCATGCCTCTGACCTCTGAGTCAGGTTGGAAGATATGGGCAAAGAAGTGTATAGTCTTGGTAACTTTCTCTCAGGTTGGACAGAAAGGCATCCCTGACTTTTCCAGGCTTGTATCAGTGCCATACACAGAATGTAACATTCTATAATTAGAACTCTGCAAAGGTGTTCTTTTCTCCCCTAAGTATCTATAAATGGATAGCTGCTCAAACTGAAATAATGGGGAGAGAAATTATCTTTTCTAAACTAGGTCTACACCTCTCCCATTATAGCTCCAGCCTGTATTTTCTAGCAGATGGAGTTTATATTTCAAATGAAAGGGTTCATTCATTTCTTACACTTTCCTGTCAATCTGATTCTTCTGCAAGACTCCTATCACTTTAAAGAATATCTGTCTGCTTTTCCAGAGACCGTAGGGATTTTGATGGAGATGGAGAAGTAGTTGTTTGGTAATAGAGATTGGCCCTATGTTATTGAAAAGGCATTTCTCAGTCCTGTGTAATATCACTGGTGGCACAGGAAACAGTTTTTTTTTTTTCATTCTCCTGATAAGCAATGCATTTATCACAACTGCCTCCTTAATTTTATAACCATGGACTCAACAGATTCTTCCATGAAGTATATGCTACCTTTTGAGTGCTTCCAAAGTCTCTCTTTGAAAACCTGGTGCAACTTTCTGAAATTCCTCATTTTTAAGATTCAGTTCAGAGGGGCTAAATCCAGAGGAGAGCAAAACCTTTGTATTTTTCCAGGGAATCAAATCAATGTTACATTTTTTAGATTTTTTTTTTCAAATTCTACATTGAAAATGTGCATTGACTATGCCAATTCTCTTAGGAAACATGTGAGCCTATTTGAGTTTTTCCACTCCAGAGTCTAGGCAAAATGATATCCCTACCTACAGTTTTAACAGAATACAGAATTTTAGTTTAAATATACTCTGTGAAATCTCTTCAGGGAGGAGCCCTCTTGGGAAAATCTATAGGGCTCCCATGTGAGTATTTAGGAACTTTATAAGGTGTTACAAAATTAGCACAGCATCAGTGACACTACATTTTGCAGAAGAAATCTTTCAGAAATGAGGTGACTTGTGATGGCATCTGACTGAGGGAAAACAGCATTTTAAAAATAATCTTCATTCGTATATTAGTACATTTGGGAGCAGATCCCGTTACAGTGAGATGTTAATGATATTATTGCTTAGATTTTGACTTTATTAATTTGTGTATAGAATATCTCATCTGTTAGGAAATAGCTCTCATTTTGCATTTTGCCCCAGATTGTGAGATATTATCCAGTGCTGAATGACATTCACCAGTTACAAGTGTAACATATCTGCATATTGCTATAATAGGGCATATCTCTTTACACATATGCAGATTTTCTATTGAAAAAGGAATAGCTGGTCAGGTAGCAAGAACTGGTGAAGTCCTCAACATACCTGATGCCTACGCAGACCCACGTTTTAACAGGTAGGAATTCATTGGGCTTGCAACACACATAGCATGTGTGTGGTATTTGATGTAGTTTTATGGAGTTATTTTTTAAAAATGATTTTAATTCTTTAGGTAAGACTAATTATCTTGGCTCCCAGAGATATTTCATAGTCTTGGGATGGTATCTCAAGAAAAGCACTCTCTCACATGCTCATATTTATATTCTCAGTAGCATAGATATGTGGTTTTCTTCTAATCCAGATCAAGGGTTAAGGGGATGCTTGCTCTGGAAGAGCAAATCGGCCATTTCTCCTAGAGAAACCATTCTTTTTTTATCCAGCCCATGTATTCTTAGTGCCATCCCAAGGTTAAGGAATGTCTCCCATACAGAACAGAAATTTATGGTAAGAATGTTTCTGCTATTTCCAACGTATCCAGTATCCAGAAGAAATGTGACTCAAACTAGGACTAACCATTCTGTTTTTCAAGCTTGAAGATTGCTTTTTCCAATAGTAAGGTTTATAGCTTTCTCCCCTCATAGGCGTGAGGGCACTCAGTTCCGGAAATGTCCTGCCTGTAGATTAGATGAATAAGGCTAACAAGGAAGCAAGTCTTCTTCCTAGATTCCCTGCATTTTCTTTGCCTTAATCAAGGGAAGAAAGCTTGGAGCTCTTGAAAGAAGCTGAGAGAAATACATTAAAAGAAAGAGCATGCATGCAAACCAGAAGTAAAAAGTAAGTGGAAAGAAACATTTTAACATTCATGTTTAACCGCCATCACTTCCATTCCATTTCCCATGCTGTGGAGCATCTTTGATTCAGACATTTAATCTCCTCCCCTTCTCACAACCAAAAGGGAACTGCTGGATTTGAATTCAACAGGCCAGGAGTCTTAAGTTTTTGCAAAGTATTTCACCTTGGCTTCTCCTGTCCTTCAGCTTAGAGGCCCACACAAATAAAAATTGTGTGTGACTTGATGTCAGAGGTAGTATTTTTAGAACACAGATTCCTTCCTCAACATTTAATGAAGAGTGCATTCATACAGACAGTTGAGGTTGTTTGTAGACACATGGAGTAGCATTTGACAGTGATCTAGAAGGCAAGAACATTCTTTTTACCCTACTTCAGATACTAAAGGGACAAATAGAAAGAAAAAAGGCATTTCCCCCCACAGAATTCCTCTTTATTTGACTATTGTACTATTTTCTTTCAGAATCAACATTCTGGCACTTCTAGAGCCATAAGGGCCCTAGACACCAAGTCTTAATCATATTGCAGCAAAATGTCCTACTTATGCTTCTGAACTCTGCTTAATCATTGTGTCAAAGTTTTGAGTGTTGCAGTGTAGCACTGATAGCAGTGGCAGGTTCAAGGAAATGCATGTGAATAACACCATCCCAAAAAACTGTAACCACTGATTTTTTCTGCCAAGCTTGGGTTTTGAATTTTTTCGCGAAGGTGAAAGTTTATGATGCTATTTCATGGATTGATCCTTCATTTCTGAGTCATAACAATGAGCCTATGTTTTGCCAGCTACCACAATGCTGTGAAGAAATTTCTCACTTACTTTCTTGTAGCATGACAACAGTTGCTGGCAAATTTCAACTCTAAGCTTTCATCTCTGCCATCAGCATGCAAAGAACCCAGCTTGCAGAAACCTTCTGACACTGAAGAACATCAATAATGTGGCCCATATGTTCCTGTGAAATACCTAGCTTGACAGACATTTCTCTTTCAGTGATCTACCACTTGTCTTTCATCAGTTCATTAACCTTTGTCATGTGAAACTCATTGGTTGCTATTGTATTTTGTTCACTTCATTGTTCACACAAATCAGTTCTTCCCAGTTTACCATCTTTACATTTTTGGCTCAGAGATGCACAGGACTCACATCAACACACTCATCACAATAAATAACCTGTGTTTGGCAGTGAATTTCAATTGGAGTGACTCCTTGAACAGTAATAATTCAATCATAGCATGCTGCTTAAAGTGCACCAGTGAGTACTCACTTTAGGCACCCATTTCAAGAACAAAAGCAATGCAGCTTTTTCTCACAGCAACTTCCCACCAACTGAGGTGAAATAAGAAATGCTAAAGAACATGTCAGAACTTCTAGTGCATCTTTATTGCCCTCTGTTAGCAACTTATAACATTGGAGGCATTACTTTTCATTCAACCCTCATAGTTAATAGAATTATGGTGGACTGTGTTTTCAAAAATAAAAAATTTAGCCAGAATGGAGGAGAGGGCAAAACAGCTTTCCCCTTTTACATTTCAGGGATTAAAGGACAATCTGTTGAGAAGATATTGTTTCTTTACAATACCCATTGTTGAGATTATCTGGGAAATCTAATTCTATCCACATAATGTGACTTGCTCATCCACCCCATAATATGTTAAAATGCCCCTTCATCTTAAGACTCTTTCTCATGAGCTCCAACCAAGTACAATGGGTTCAGCACAGAAATAAATGTAGGATACATTGTTAATGAATTGGCTTCTCCTGAAGTGCTTAAGTCCTCAACTGTTTTAAAATTGGAGGATTTAAAACTGGAGGATTTAAAACCAGAGCAGCATTGCACTGCATTCTATACCTTGTAAGCCTTCATAGCTTATTGTGAAAAAAGCAGCCCCTCTCCCTTTTTCAACAACTTTATAGGAATTTCAGTTGCTAGAATGACTTCAGAAGGAAGTGCAGATATTCTTGCATTCTTGACTATTGGCTTCTACCATAGAATTGTAGCATGTTTATACAGTATATGTCTGAATTTGTCTGGCCTTTCTGCCCTTTGAAAAAGCAATATTCCATCAGGATAACCTCCTCCTCCTCCTCCTCCTCCTCCTCCTCTTCCTCCTCCTCCTCCTCCTTCTTCAACTTCCTTAGTTAAAAACCTGTTCATGAAGAAAAACCTTGCATCTTTCAGAAGAATAGGAAGCGTTCATTCATTATGTAAATATGCACTGTCTTCTTTTGCATAGAACATCTCTGAGAAAAGAGGGATTCTACATAGAAGGGACTCAAATTGTAATCCAAACTTTTTAACTAATCTGCAGCTCTCATTTTCCTCATCCCTCTGTAGTCATCGTTCTTTGGGGGATTAGTATACAGAATCCTTTATCCAACTACACTTCTAGAGGAAATCATGGCCTATTCCTCCAGATGCCTTGAAGGTAAATAAGCATGTGATGTATTATGCTGTTTTTTGACATCCCTGAGGTGAATGTCCTCATGCCTACAAGGGGAGAAAAAGGAAATTCTTATGTACTGAATTTCAGTTCTTCTCATAGGCAGGAAATCATTCTGCCCACACCAGTCATTTACCCATCCTGTGATACAACCCTTGTTCTCTCTAACCATTGATACTATTGAATGAGGTGGCCAATTCTCCTATTTGAGCAAGCAGCTTATTTTTTTATCTTGTTCATTTGCCTGTTTTAATCTCCTACCTTGGCATTACCTTGGAGATCTAAAGAAGTCCTACCTCTTTAGGAAATGCTTCTTAGCCTTGCCTATTCAGCATCAGAGGCTGGACTTTTTCTGAACTAAATGCCCTCCCACCCACAAGAGCAGCATCTCCAGGTAAGAATTTCTTTTTTTCCAACACTGGACATAAAGTTGGAACACTGATCAAAGTTGGAGGGCATATTTATCTAAGAACAGGAAGTGTTCATAGATATCATTTTAAAATGCAGATTGTTTAAAAGATAGAGCTGTTTCCCTTCACATAAATAATCTCCAGCTACCAATTAAAAATAAAATATATTTATAGTTTTGCATTAAAATGGATGTATTTTGCTGAAGATTATTTTCTTTATGAATTAATATGGGAATGATAGTATCCTTTTAAAATATTGCTATCAGGATAATGAATGCTAAGTAATTGATTCTGAAAAGCTCATACATTTATATATGAAAAACATATTCATAATATACAGATAATGAGCTGGTAAAATCATAGGCTTTGAAATCTTTGAGGTATACTATATTTAATTTCTGCTTAAGCTTGCCAATTTATCACATATATATCTAATAAATTTGTAAAACTGCATAGAATATAGTTTCTCATTAGGATAAGCCATTTATTTACATCCCTGCATTGGCTTCATGAGTTATAAGTATTATTATTTTGGCTAAACACTTCCTTGCGTGCACTGCATCCCTGAGTGACCAGGGACAACATAATATGTGTGTCCCATATAGTAATGGAGTTCTTAATTGGAAAATTTCTGTGTTGAAGTATACATTAGGATGTTTCTGGATCAAATCAAAGCTGATCATAAAGTCAGAGTGACATTAGATATTGTCTTAGCTTTAATCCCTGTGTAAAGTACAGAAAAAATGCTACTGACTGCAAGATTGTTGTACGTATTTTAACAAATTAATGTGTATGGAATGGTTTAAACATGAGCAGAGGAATCCTATGATTCATGTGTTATGAAAAAGTGGGGCATTTTTTCTTTCCCCCACATGGTTTTTCATTATTTTGTTTCTTTATTTTCACACATCTGGGAAAATATTGCTACCAGGACTAGCCTTCTTTACTGACTTTTGGAAAGGGGTATTGTGCTGAAAAATAAGGAGTGGGAGTGTTAGAGCCATTGGAGTAGCAACTGGTGATAAAGATTTATGCTGGTATCTAGGGAGGGCCTTTCTTCTGTGAAGGAATATAACAAATCTATGTGACCTCCCAAGGAGACCTTGGATTACTCGCTAAAAAATTCTCAGTACTATTGTTAATAAAATGAATGTGTTAATACCCTATGAGATGAATGTCTGATTTTCCTTTTTTCATTCTTTCCTCCCTTTTTATTTTCTAGGGAGGTAGATCTCTACACAGGCTACACAACAAGGAACATTTTATGCATGCCTATTGTGAGTCGAGGAAGTGTCATAGGTGTCGTGCAGATGGTGAACAAACTAAGTGGAAGTGCCTTTTCTAAAACTGATGAGAACAATTTTAAAATGTTTGCAGTCTTTTGTGCTTTAGCATTACACTGTGCTAATGTAAGTTTTGTTCTACAAAAATAACAAGGTGAACCAAAATAACATTATTTTTTAAATAAAATATATTGATTGTTAATAATTATTACATTGAGAGATGACAAGTACTAATCTGATTCTAATATTGTGGGATTGTTTGTGTTATGTTCTTGATTTAAAATATTTAATCATTTTTATTTCGATGATGATGATGATGATGATGTACCAGCAAGAGGGTGTTGACTCTTAGTTACCAATAGATTTTCTCTAAGATGATCTGTCCCTAACCTGGTCCTTCAAGTCTTCCAACAGTGCACCCATCGTTGCTCTAATAGAGTCCATCCATCTTGCTGCTTATTGTCCTCTTCTTCTGTTTCCTTCCACCTATTAACCATTATAGACTTCCCTGGAGAGTTAGGTCTTCACTTAATGTGTCCAAATATGATAATTTGAGCCTGATCATTTCTGCCTCAAGTGAGAACTCTGGGTTGATTTTTCAATTTCCACCTGTTTGTTTTTTGGCTATCCATAGTATTCTCAGGAGTCTTCTCCAAAACCAAAGTTCAAAAACATTAATCCTCTTTATATCCTACATCTTCAAAGTCCAACTTTCCCTTCCATAGAGTGTCACAGGGAAAAGATTGCTTGCACAATTCTGATCTTTGTAGATGTAGACATTCCAGCATCTGAATATCTTTTTCAAGGCCTTCATGACTACCCTAGTAAGTGCTGATCTACAGCATATTTTTTTACTGTTGCTTCATTTACTGTTGATAGTTGATCCTAAAAGACAGAAGTTACCCACCACTACAATATCTTCCTTATTGTCAGTTCTAAGGCTAGTTGCTCTTTTCAATGTGTTCTTTATATTTATACTTCGTCCCATTTTTTTCAGTGCTTTTTTTTTCATTACCTTCATTTGCATTTTGAATTATCATTAGCATAGCATTGGTTATTGATATTTCTTTCTTCAATTTTCAAATCACCCTCATCTTCTTCCAAACCAGCTTCCCTCAATATTCTACATATAGCTGATTACACAAGGGGAGAGTATATAGCCTTCTCTCACTCCTTTGCCAACCTGGCAACAACCAGTTTGTTTTGCCATGTTCTGTCTGGACTGTGGCTTCCTGACCTGTGTTTAAGATTTCACATGAGAACAATGAGATGTTCTAGAATTCTCATTTTTCAAAGTATATTCCATCAGAGGCCTTTAATAATCAATGAAATACATATTGACTTA